TGCTAGAGTATGCAAACACCGCGCGAGCGTCACTAACGGGAGCAGAAATGTCTGGCTTGACGGCTCCGTTTTCAACTCTGCCCCCGACTGCAAGCGGCTACTCTCGTTGATCGCCGTCTGTAGCCGTGCTTCAAGTCGAACGCACCTAAAATCTTCCCCAAAAGCTGTAGACTCCTCCTAAAGACACACCCCCAACCTATAGATCACACCCTCATACACTCCCTCAAGATATAAACCCTTCCCCAAAAGCTGTAGACTCCACCTAAAGACACACCCCCAACCTATAGAATACACCCTCATACACTCCCGCAACACATAAAAGGTGCGTTCGACTTCACACCCCCAACCTATAGACCACACCCTCATACACTCCCTCAACACATAAACCCTTCCCCAATACCTGTATACTCCTCCTAAAGACACACCCCCAACCAATAGACCACACCCTCATACACTCCCTCAACATATAAACCCTTTCCCAAAAGCTGTAGACTCCACATTCACCTACAGACTCCGCCCCCAAACACACCCTTATTATACAGTCTTCATCTGCTGTAGATAGTTTACATACCCAAACTAAAATACGGTTTATTTAAATGTTTCCACATGCATATAAAGTTCTTATAAAACATTGACATTGAACTATATCCCAAATACATCAGTGTCAAGTTAGTCTTTTGGCAGAATAACTGACACCTAATGCCTGATAGTCATCCCACTAAACCCTTGTAAGCATGCGTGACCTTGACCCAGGTGACTGAAAGAAGCAGGTGCTTCGACCGCATGCCGCTGGGACGCCTGCATGTGTGGACGCTTTAAAATTAGCCACAAACTCAAACTATATGCTCTCACACGGTCGCAGCACTCTCTCATCACTGCGGTGTTATCTAAGGATGTTGTGCTTTGTAATTTGATATGTCAGATTGTTCATTTTGTAATCAGGTCGACTTCAAAGCATTTCAATGGTAATAAAGTAATGCATCTTGTCTTTTTTATCTTATCTATCTATCTATCTACAGTATATGTCAATAGAAACAAACAGTGTTCGCTTCAAGCTAACAGTAAATACCATGTTGGCTGTAAAATTCACAGCGTCTGTGCCAGGGTCATTTTCAAAATGCCTCAGCTGAAACCAGAGGAAAGTGTCAGGCTCTAGCATCTCTTCATCACGTTTCCACCAAATTTGACGTGTGTCAGTTGCCAGAATGTAAAAAGACATGTCGAGACAGATATTCAAAGTCAAAACAAAAATGTTCTGAAAGTCAAAACAAAAATGTTCTGAAGTAGAAAAGCCACAATTGATACCAAACACCTTGTGATGGTTGGTTGTACTGAAGTGTGCTGACAGCTCCATTCATCTCAATGTTTCGTGTGTGTGTACTTTCACAGGAGAGTCTCGAGTACATTTTTCTCATCATATTCACTATGGAATGTTTCCTGAAGATCGTGGCGTACGGGCTTCTCTTTCACGCCGATGCTTATTTGCGGAACTGCTGGAATATATTAGATTTTGTCATTGTGACAATGGGGTAAGACACACACACACACACCACTCCCTGAATATGGACAGAAACATCCTACACAATTACAAACACTTTCTGTGCGACGCCTCTCAGGTTGTTCACTGTCGTGGTGGACTTCATTAATAACATCAGCGGCGTGGAGGCGCCGGGTTACCACGTCGGCACAGGTGAGAAATGAGGCAAGATTTGAGAAACTTTGAGTGGATTTACACAAAACCAAAATCTACGCAGCAGGCACACAACGTCATAAGATGTTGATATTTGGTTAAATTTTGGTTGCGATGTCAGGTGACCAAAATTTTGTGTCAGTTCAACTTCTAGGGCCAGATTTACTAACAGTTTGCGCCAGCGGAAAACATCTTTTGCCGTTAAATTAGTATTGTCAGGATTTACTAAAGACACAAAGTAAAGAATTAGCACTGAAAAGGTATGGACAGGTATGAACTTATTGAATATTCATTTGTAGGAGTTTCCCTTTCAGACGTAAAATTTATGTTGCACTGAGCTTGGTATATTGCGTTGATCGATATGTAAATGAGATGTTGCGCCTGTGTTCTTTAATTTCACTTTAATCACCTGCAGAAATTTCCACGCCCATTGGCGCTGTTTCGGAATTGCGCTCTTGTTTTTAATATAAAAAAGTTCTTCTTTTACAAATGTAAAAGCCCTCTCACAACAAAAGTGAAATGAATACACCTCAGGCTAAAGGAAATGTAAATTCACGTCTGTACAGTAGAGGGCGCAGCTCATACAAATCGCATGAAGAATATGACGCAGAAGAGAAGAAAGTTCAACACTATTCAGCAATATAAATGTGTTATTTTTGCTTAGTATGGTTGAATTGGATCATCGAAGGCCAGTGGCAAAGACACTGGTTAATGAAATGGGATTAATACATAAATGATATTTGTCTTATTTAACATATTTAATTATTGCAGGTTTGTATAATATTCTGATTTTGCATTTGACTGTTTTTATTCATTTTGAAGAACACTGAATGTGTTTTTGTGCAGTGAGATGAGTAAACACATGTTTATATTTAGTCTAGAACTACAGTAAGATCATGTTCACACACAACGCTCTGCACTTACTCCTGATTTCTGTCACCATGGCAACACCAGAGCTGTCACTCAATACATGGAAACGAAGTAATTGGTGTTACTTATTTGAAAAAGTAATTCATATATTTCCTTCTAAATTAAAAAGTAATGTGTTACTTTACTAGTTACTT